GCGCAGACTCTTTTGATGGGGGTGTCCAACCATGCTAATTCTAAGCAGAAGCACTTGAAAGCAATTTTGCACGTACTCAGCAGAAGATGTCGACTCAGTGGGGAGAATAACTAAAGGCCAGCAAATGATATCAAGATGTCGATGGAGAAGGATAATCCCTTTGGGCGTCGTTTCCAAGAAGGCTACAAAAATCTTGGAATCCAATATTTTCCAGACCTGCATGCTGGTTGCCATTCGTCTGAATGGATGGGTACGCTAGTTTTATGTCACTCTTATTTTAGTCAGTTACTGCACCTCTGTCAGCCAGTCACTTTCATCAGGAGTCCCTGACTGGAAAGCAGTCGTTCATTCATCAGTCGCCCTCTTAAGCCTCTGTAACATTAAATATGTAATTTACTATGCTTATCTGCGGAAGTAAGTGAACAGAATACTGGATCAATTTAAGTAATTGATTCAAAATCACGTGATTCAAAGCAAGTCTCATGTTTGTTGGCATCCTTACTGCTCTGGTTCGATCTGGCGTCGTTTATCGACAGGGTGGGATACAGGATCCTGCTGAGAATGCTTGATAAAAGCCAATAATTCTTAACTTGGACTATATAGGCATTACGTTAAAAGTTTTCAGTGAAAGTACAAAAGCGTGTACTGAAAGACGGCTAAAACGATGGTTCTCGAACCTGACGGTAAAGGAAAAAGACTCTATCAACTCTTATAACAAGTGGGTTACAAGTTTTACAAGTGCAAAACGTTTGTCTGTAAGGTTGATTCAGCAACAATTCAAACTTGAAGAGACTCGCATAATTACATTGTGCAATTGTGAACAAAAATCAACAAAAGCCAAAACCAATTTACATGCCCAGATTTGCACAGAGAAATCACGCTATTCCCTTGCTTCTATATTTCTGAGGCTCATTTTCTGCAAGTCACGCATTTATGCAACCTCTCAGTGTTCGACCGAACAAATACGCATTCGAATATCAATTCGATTTGGTCGAGCAATGACAGATGGAACATCTCCAAAAAAAATGCCGCAATGCACTGGCATTTTTATGCATCACTAATGAACACCGTGTTTTGTGTATGACTGCCAAAAATGGCAACTGTCTGACCAAAGTCAAGGACGTAGGTAGCGATGCTCGTAGCCGTATACCTGGCGTGGCTCTCTGTTTCCTCTGAAGGAAAGATCGCTGAAAGAGACAGGACCCGGATAAGGCCGGTATCATCATGCAGCAGGAGGAGACAACTCGTAAAAGCTTCTAATTTCTTCTGAGACGCTTTAGTCTATGTCGAAGCAGAAGTCCTTTCAAAGGTTTTGTACTGTCGAGCCAATTGCCAGGTTCCACTTAAAGGTCATTCTCATTACTGTATTGAGGTGCAGTGCCCGTCTCTTAAGTCTTTATTTCAGTTCGAAAAAATGTAATTACTAAGGCAACAGTTAAAGTTATTAAACAAGTCTAGCAAGCGGTCTGAAGTTATCAGAAGATGGTATTCACTCATCTGCTTTAAAAGCACGGAAGACGATCAGTCGAGATCACAGATTTTCAGAAAACCGAGCAGCAGATTTCCAAAAATATCCTTAAAGGTGTATTAAATGACCAGCGAACCTCGATATGTAAACGATATGTGCCCCCTATATCTCATATTAGGGAATCGAAAGGGCCTGAAAGAATAGACAACAGCCGAAAAGACCCACTCGTCATTCAGCTTAATCAGCTTAAAATATTCATCTAATTGCATGAATAGGAAAGCACAAAACCCCTCGAGGGAAATGCGTAACA